CCGACTGAGCTCCACTATGGGGTGCTCCAAACCCCGGTTGGAGTCTGGTCTGACGCTCGGGGTTGATATCCCTTGGGATCCGGGTGGATGACCATATGGAGCATCGAAGCCTAGCTATATGGCTACAAATAAAGCAATGCGAGGTAGGTAACCCGTAAGTTTGTAGGTGTCTTTCTTAGCTTTGTGTCTTGAGTCTAGATGCATTCATGATCGCATTGGCACTTTTTATTTTGCTTTGACTAGTTGATGTTTGAGTTGGTTTTGTGTTGTTTTCATTGGTAAAAAAATTAGCATGTCAGTAGCCTGTTTTTGTTGCATGTCTCCTCTATTTTTTATTGCAATATTTCTATGTGCCAAACGTGAGGAGGAAGCACAATTTTTTTTAATGAAGTTCTACAGCTCCAGGAGAAAAGATGGTGTTTCATACAACCGTCCCGGTCGTTTGAGGTCCCGTATGAGCTCGTGGCCGCAAGAAATAGGAGATCCGGAGCAAAAGACGGCCTAGCGCTCGAACGCTCGCACTCGTATGAGCGGTCATTTCACCTGGCGACCACAATGAGTATCTCCTGAAGCGAACGACGGTGTTCTATACGACCGCAACTGGCAATTTTAGCACTCGTATGAAAGCAATAACACCTCCATCAGATTCATTTCGACGTCGGAGGTCGACGAGGTGTTTTCTAACCAATCATTTTCTTTGTAATCATTTTAAAGCTTTAAAGTTTGCCCCATCATAATTTTCTTCTTCCTTCGCCACTAATTTTCTGTCAAGGCAGTACAAAGAAACTAGAAGTAATAGAAATTAAATCCATATTCGTAGACCATCTAGTTTTAATACAATGATAAAGTGATTTGTTGGAAATAAACATGCACAGGGTGGTGATTCTCACCGCAATAAATTGCTGAAAAATAACCAATAAGTTGGAAGAATTTGTTTAGTCGAAGTTCCGAATAAAATCACATTGCGGCTCTTCTAATTTTTGTAGAATGTCACGTTGCGGCTAGTGGCTCGCACAAACGAATAAGCGCCGAAGGCCCAGACCGCTCCGGACGGCCCACCGACGCGAAACCCTAGCAAGTGGAGTACAGTGAGACCAAATCCATTGCCGTTTTGTTTTTATTAACTCCCCATCTCAGTTCTCACTGGTCGGTCGGAGGGAAGGACACACACCTGCTCCCCCCAAGGGAAGGGAAAACCCACACCTTTCCCCTCTCCCGTCGCCGCCGCCGCCGCCGTCGCCGGGCGCCATGTCGACGGGCGACATCGCCTGCCTCGAGCACGTCATGGACTGGTGCCTCCCTGCCTCCCCGGTCTCCCCCGCCGCCCTCCTCTCCGCCGCCACCTTCCTCCTCCGACGGTGAGGACCGCATCAGCGCGCTCCCCGACACCCTCCTGCGCAACGTCGTCTCCCGCCTCCCAGTCAAGGACGCCGCCCGCACCGGCGCTCTCTCGCACCGCTGGCGCGGGCTCTGGCGCGCCACCCCGCTCGCCCTCGACGACGCCCACCTCCTCCCGTCCCCCGTCCCCGCCGCCACATTGGTGTCCCGCGTCCTCGCCTCCCACCCCGGCCCCTTCCGCGCCGTCCGCATCGCTGAGATCCCCATCGACGAGTCCAACGAGGAGGCGCTCCTCCCGGAGTGGCTCCGCCACCTCGCCGACAAGGGCCTGGAGGACCTCACCCTCGTCAACCGCCCCTACTCCTTCGACGTGCCCGTGCAGCTGCCCGCGACCCTCCTCCGCTGCGGGGCCTCGCTCCGCCGCCTCTACCTCGGCGTCTGGCTCTTCCCCTTCACCACCGGCCTCCCGCGCCGCCCCGACGTCTTCCCCCACCTCCAGGAGCTCGGCCTCTGCCACGGCATCACGGAGGAGCGCGACCTCGACTACGTGCTCTCCTGCAGCCCCAAGCTGGAGACCCTGGCGCTCATCTCCAACTACGGCTACCCCGACAGCGTCCGCATCGGCAGCCGCAGCCTCCGCTGCGTGCTGCTCTGGCATTCCTTGGCCGACGAGGTCGCCGCCGTGTCCGCCCCAAATCTGCAGCGCATCATTATCTACTGTACGCACCCCAGTGAGGATGACGGGGTCATCAGGGTCAGGATCGGCCATGCTCCCCAGCTCGCCGTGCTCGGCTACTTGGACACGGCCACCCACGAGCTTGAGATCGGCAACACCATCATCAAGGTACTCCAATTCTCACAAATATATGAGTTATATCTGGTTTGATTTGCATGATTGTCTGATTGATGTTGCGATGATGTGCAGGCTGGGGTGACAAAGGTTTGCCCAAATACAGTGGTTCCAAGTGTGAAGGTGTTAGCTTTGAAGGTCCGTTTCAGAGTGCCCAAAGAAGTCAGAACTCTGCTGTGTTTCTTGAGATGCTTTCCTGGAGTAGAGACCTTACACATCATGGCTGTGAGTTTTACCCTGTGGCTCTATCTCTCTCTGCATTCAAAATTACCATTTTGTACTGCTTGCATTCCATCGTTGGCTCTCTGAGTTGCGTGCTTTGATTTTGCAGTCCGACAACGACACCGACCACTACGATGACCCGGGTGAAGTCAAGCCCAGCGACATGCTCAAGTCCACATTCTGGCAGGGGGTCATTCCGATCAAATGCGTGAAGTCGCGCATCCAGAAGCTGGTGTTCGACCAGTTCACCGGGGGCACGAACCAGGTTGAGTTCCTGAAGCTGGTTCTTGGGGGAGCTGTGTTGCTGCAGAAGGTGATTGTCCTGCTGGCCGGCCCGGATTCTATCTCCATTTGCGAGGCCACGAGCAAGCTGCAGCCGTTGGCTTCCAAGAGAATGTGGGCGAGTAAGGTCTCCGGCAGAACTTCCTTGGAGGTCCGTGGGCGCGCCGCAGGTCAGGTTTGGAGGTACGACGAAGCGTCTGATCTTTCTATCGGAGACCCGTTTATCTCTTAAGCCGGTATCGACGGATCGTTTTCATTGGCTGGTAGCGCATTATCGTTTGAATGGCGTGTTTCCTTGTGAAAGGGAACTAGCATTAGCCATTAGGTAGCAGCTTTTTTGGGGGGTGTTGGGGATTTGGGCTTAGCAACGAAATGTCGTGCAAGACTTCTCATGACTTGGATATGTTGTTACCTGCAACTGCATGCAATGTGTTACTATTGTTGTGAGTTGCTCATGTTGTTATCTGAATGATAATTTCTGCATTCGATGTGATTTCCACGGGAGCAGTGTTTCCATGGTCTGTGGCTGTGGCTTACACATGTTGGTATCTGCACTCAGTGTGATCTTCATGGTCTTACTTATGTTCTGATTGTTGATGTTACACCTTAGTTTGCTTCTAGTGTTTTTCTTCAGCTCATGTTGAGTCACGCCGCTGCTGGGATTCATCACTTGATCTATTGTGCGTGGGCTCTGGTTTTGTTCATCAGTTCGCAAGGTGGAAAATGTTGGGTTATTGATTTCCATGTATGATACGTGAATCTTAAACCTGCTGCATCCTGGGTTTGCACGGATGTCGGTTTACTGTTTTGCCACTGGTCTTCCTTAAGTTTGACTGCTCCAGTTTGAGTGCTCACCATGATGCCTCATTCTAGAGTAAGACTTGGTTAACCATTATTTGTTTTCCACGATCTAGACATGTCAGGTTTGCTGAAATTTGGTCTTTTCTTGTGTATGCTAGCCTTTAAATGGGAAATCAAGATAATGCCGCATATGTTTTTGTTCTTGATTTGAAAGACACAACTTCTTTCATGGTTCCACCACCAGTCTGAACTGTTCAACAGCAATGACGGGGTGTGTGAGCTGTACTGGCTCTCCCCAAGACATTGGTACTCCTGAAATGGTGCTTCGATGTGAATCTCCATATAATTTTTTTACCTCTGCTTATTCTGGGGCATAACTTGAAATAACTGATGCCTACTCAGTGTGGAAGTTGCTGCGGTGAGAACCGAGAGCATTTCAGGAGTACCGGCGTAGACATCAGTTAACTTATCTTGCGGCATTTCTGTGCCTCTGGAGTTCATTCTGCAGCACTTCGGTTGTTTGTTCTTGTCTTAGTATACGGGAGGTTATCTGTTTGAGTCGCCACGGCGCCTATCTTTTTTTTTCCGTGAATAGGCATCACACATTGCTGTGATACTTGTTCTTCTTGGCCTTTGCCTGAGTTAGAACCATGAGCTGCAGATGTTGTTTTTCCATCTTTGTTAAACTTGATAAGTACTCTAGACTCTTATAATATCATCATTCAATTGATTTGTTGCATGCTCCTGTCTCCGTATGATCTATGGGCATTAAGGTGTCTGTTCTTGCACTACCGTACCCGAAAAATGTGTCGCCTGGAAACTGTATGACATTGTCTTGAGTTTATATATATCCACAGTTCAGTAAACTGAACTTATATGATTCTGTTCAAGTCTGACAACGTCATCGAAAAGTTCAGGCATCGTTGGAAAGTGTTCATGTATTTGAAAAAAAAAATGCGAATTCAAAAAGTTGTTAATGATTTGTAAAAAGTTTGAAAAAACAATTCATGGATTTGAATTTTTTTTTGTGATTTTAAAAAAGTTAACAGATTTGAAAAACGTTCGCGGATTTGCACGAGCTTGATTTTTTTTCGAATTTGAAAAGGAGGAAAGCAGAGCAAAAACGAAAAACCTGAAAAGAAAAAGGAAAATGAAAAAAAAAACGGCTCAGGGAAGGTTCTAGAACCTTCTGAAAGCCGGCAGGGATGAAAACCGGAATAGGCCGGCCCATATAGCGCAGGGCGCTCGTGTCCCATTGGGCCTAGATCTCCGGACGTGGCAACAGAAAAGCTTGGAAAACCTCGTCTCCTCGTCAGATTCGTTGCCCGCCGTTGGTTCAGATTCGTCGCACAAAGGAAGCCGAGGATTTTAGCCGCCACTGCCCTCAAAACTTGAATCCGATCACCCGGAAAAACTCGTCTTCCCTGAGGCTCCGCCACACGTCTACCGGCGACAGGTTTCAACTGCCCTTCCGCCGGTGGCTGCAAGAAATCCAGTTTTGCCGGCCATGGAAAATTCAAGCGAGGCGACCATCAGCGCTGCAAGTAACGCTCTACTTCCGATGATGAGTTTGGACGAGAGGTTCACAATAATCAGGAGCATCGGGCTGGAGAGCGCCGACGAGGACGAGCTCAGGGTGCTTCTGGAGAGGAAGGCCGCCCCTATCTGCTACGTCTGGTGCGACCCCTCCCCATGGGTACACATCGCCCAGGGGATCATGATGGTGTTCAACGTCAACAAGCTCATCAAAGCCGGCTGCAGGGTCAAGATCCTGATGGCAGATTGGTTTGCTCATATTCTCCGCAAATCCGACGACCTAAGTAAGATCCAGGCCATCGGACGCTACATGATCGAGATATGGAAGGCGGCAGGCCTGGATCTCGACGGGGTGGAGTTCGTGTGGCTGTCGGACGAAATCAACGGCCCGGCCTCCGGCGAGTACTGGGCGCTTCTCATGGACGTTGCCAGAAACAACACCTTGAGGAGGACGGTGAGGTGCTGCGGCCTCGCGGAACCGCCCATGGAGTACCGAGAGCTTGTCAAGCCGCATGAACGGGGCGATGTGGTGGGCGCGAGGGTCGTCCACACCTGCATGCAGTGTGCGGCCGTGTTGTTCCAGAAGGCGGACATATGGCTGCTGTCCATGGATCATGAGGAGGGCCAGCCGGATGTCGGCACGCTCACCAGAGAGTACTGCAGAGACATGAAAGGTGAAGATCATGGACCTATTATTCTGTCCCATCATAAGCTCCCCAATTTGATTTTGGACCATGAACATGCTAGGATACAAGATCCAATGTTTGGCATCTTCATGGAAGACGAGGAGCGAGATGTACCCGTGAAAATAAGGCACGCTCACTGTCCTGCGGAAGTTGCAGAAGGCAACCCATGCCTGGAGTACATCAAACATATTGTGCTTCCATGGTTTGGATGCTTTGAGGTGCCTGGCAAGGAAGAGAACTGTAGTGGCACTAGCAGGACGTTTCAGAAGATGGAGGAGCTTATCGCTGATTACGAAAGCGGCACTCTGCATCCCACCGAGGTGAAGCTGGCCCTTACAATGGCGCTAAACAAGATTATGAATACTGTGCGTCGCCACTTCACCGACGACGGTAAAGCCAGAGATCTGAAGCAAGCTATGAAGGTGTACCACAGTAATCAACCAGTGTTGTTTGCATAATGTTAGAGTCTTTAGGGGTCATGTTCAGTTTATCATATGCCCTTAGGGATCACAATATGTTTGAGCAACTCTGTATTTTTAGTTACTTATTTGCAAGATACTATAGCAGCTATGTGTCCCATTTGTGATAGTTGAGATATGGTATGAAACCAATTTCTTTTTTGAAAAAAAGGGTTAAGAGCTCAATATTTCAAGGTTGTGCTGCGTGAAGATACATAGGTCTAACATTCAGTTCGTCTGTATAGGCTGCTGTTCTGTTAGACAGGCTGTTGATTTCCCAAATGAAATAGATCAGGCAGGAGGTTGAGGGCATAGTAGCTGAAGGCATCAATTGTTCTTCCATCCATGTGACTTACAATATTGATATCCTTTTACAGCTCACACGAGGAGGATATCGATATCCCAACAGAACCTGACCGGGGTGCGCCCGTTAGCTTCTTTATTTTGTTCCGCAAAGGTGGCCAAGCAGTACAAGTGTTCTATAATGGTTCCTTCATCTGCATAGATCAATTACTACGTGTCTGTCTAGAACACATCTAAATGTGTCATAGTTATGTCACATCTAACCTGATTTTCAGTTTGTTCTTTTTTGTCCTAGTTTTTTTGTTTCTTGTTGCTGCATTATATATTTATAGGAGCTTAGATGTGACATCCTTAGAGCATCTTCAACAGCCGCGCTATAAACGCGCCGCGCAGAAAAAGTGGTGGTTTTAGCGCGTGCTACCGTTCCCGGCGCTCTAGCGGACGCGCAAAAACCGCGCGCACGACATATGCAATTCAGCGCGCGGGCGGAAACGCCATCGCGCGCCGCTTATTTGCTGTGTCCGCTCCCGCGCGTTGGACTCTTGAGCACTCGCACGCAACTCCACCTACCCATCCAGCCGCGCCGCCGCCGCCGCCCGCGCCACCCCATTTTTCCAGCGACCGTTCCAACGCTTCCCCTGTCTCTTCCCGCGCGGCCGCGGCTTCCTCCCTTGCTCTCTAGTCAGCACCGCCCGTCACGTGGGGTAGTCTCCGACGAACAGCGCCCGGCCGCCCACCGCCGCCTGGCGCACGCAAGGTGTTCGACAAAAGGCCCGCAAGGTATATATTGCTTTCAACTTCCACATTTTTGCATGAAATTTGGTGCATGTTGTTTATAGCCTAGTTTTGAACATTTTAGATGAGTTCGTCATATGATTCTTCCGAAGAAGAATTTGATATGGAAGAGGAGGAGGATCTTGCAATGATCCTAGCTATGCACATCAATAAAAAACCGAAGCACGATGGTTCGGTTATGGGTCGGCAGAAAATTTGGAGGGATAGGATTGCCCACAACAGATTAATGAGACACTATTTTGTGAAGAATCCCACATACCCCGAGTCGTACTTTCGTCGCCGGTTTAGGATGAGCACCAAGTTGTTCAGTCGCATTGCAGAGAAACTAGCGAGCCATGACCGGTTTTTTCAGCAGAGGAGGAATGCCGTCGGAGAGCTCGGGCATAGCACCTTTGAGAAGGTGACAGTCACTTTGCGTATGTTGGCATATGGTATCCCCGCTGATCTAGTTGATGATCACTTGGCCATGGGTGAGAGCCAAGCCATCATGTGTGTCAAGCACTTCGCAGTCGGAATTGTGTAAGTGTTTGGCCTAGAGTACTTGAGAACTCCCAATGTTGAAGACGTCGCAAGGCTATTGAAGATGAACAAAGCTCGCGGGTTCCCAGGTATGCTTGGCTCAATAGATTGCATGCATTGAAGTTGGAAGAATTGTCCAAAGGCATGACATGGCCAATTCCACAGACAAAAAAAGGGTTCCACTATAATCCTTAAAGCGGCGGCCGATCAAGAGACTTGGATTTGGCATGCTTTTTTTTGGAATGCCTGGATCTTTGAATGACATCAACGTTGTCAACCGGTCACCACTGATGAGTAAGATTGCAAATGGTGAACTGTCACCGGTGCAGTTTGTAGCTAATGGTCGTACATACAACCATGACTACTATCTTGCGGATGGCATCTATCCAAAGTGGCAAACATTTGTGAAGCCGTTGAAAAAACCGGAAGGTAAGAAATATCTTGATTTCCACAATGCTCAAGCGGTGGCTAGAAAAGAAGTGGAGAGAGCTTTTGGGATTTTGTAAGCCCAATTTGCTATTGTGAGAGCACCGGCTAGATTTTGGGATCAGAAGATGCTTTGGTACATAATGCATGCTTGTGTGATCATGCACAACATGATCATCGAGAATGAACGTGGCCAAGATGTAGACTACTCTCACTATGAGCTCTTGGGACATCCCGTGCGAGTGCGGCGGAGGGCTGAAAGGGTGGCCCATTTTGTTGCCTCCTATCATGTCATTCGACGATCGGCAACGCACAATGAACTCAAGAAGGATCTCATTAAGGGGTGGTGGGCTTGGAATGGCCGCCAAAGAGTATCATGATTTGTGCAATTGATGTTGTATTGTTGAACTATTTGTTATATTTCTCAAATACTATTTGTTTGATGAGTTGTGATAAATTTAACTATTCATTTTAAACTTGGTTGAATGATGTTTGTAATTTAAAAATTATATGTCATGTCTTTGTTTTGTGAATGTGTTGATAAAATGCAATAAATGTGGATGTGCGGCTGCTCGCTCGCGCTGCATTTTAGTGCACTGCAAGAGCTGCGCGCGCACTGCATTTTAGTGCGGCTGCTGGAGTCAGTGCTGCGCGCCGTGCCAAATCTGGTGATGGGCACGCCGCAAATCAGATTTTAGCGCACCGCATGTTGGGCGCCTGTTGAAGATGCTCTTAGACAAATTGTTGTGTAAATTCTAGCAGTTGGTCGGGTTTCAAATTCGACCCAATGTGTGCTTTGTGTCCAGCCCATTCTATCATTCTTTCTGTGATTCAGATGGACGACTACTACACTTTGGTGCAGACCCTGGCATCCTTGTACACCTTGCCGGGCCGGCACACGTAGCCCTGCTCCGGCGCGCAGTGCGCGTCCCGCGAGCACACGCACATCCCTTCCAGCGCGCACCCGGGCGCGTCCTTGGTCGGCGCGGTCGTGACACCGAGCATCATGTTGCTCCAGCTGCTGGAGAAGAGGCCGTCGGGGTCGTAGGCGCTCTTGACGCGCAGGAACCGGCGCATCCCGGGGTACTTGCTCGCCGCGCCGGCGAAGGCGAGGTTGCGGTTCTTGCCCCAGTGCGGCAGGCCGCCGTACTTGACCAGCCCCATCTGCTCGATCTCCTCCAGGAAGTCCTCGTGGAGCCGCGCCCTCCCGGGGTCGCGGCTGCGGTAGTAGGTCATGTCGAAGTCCACCATGTCCGCCGACTCCCCGGGCGCCGCCGGCTTCCCGAGGTGCGCCGTGGAGGACTTGACGTAGCGGATGAGGATGCCGTCGTAGAGTTCGAGCCCGCAGAGAGCCTTCGGGTTGAGGTCGCGCAGCCGCTGGACGTCCTGGACGAACGCGCCCGCGCGGCTCAGCGGCAGGCTGAAGGTGGTCTGGTGGAAGAAGCTGGAGTCGCTCACGCGCGGGTCCCAGGCGCAGGCGGTCTGGAGCACGTCCTCCTTCCCAGTCAGGCAGCCGCCCGACGCCTGCATCTGGTCCTGCCGCCCCACCACCGGGTACCCCGTGAACAGCCCGCCGCTCCTCCGCGCTAGCCCGTAGCCGGCCACCGACAACGCGGCGTGGGTCACCCTTGCCGTCAGGCACTTGCCGCCGCTGCCGCCGTTGCCCACCCGCTCGGACGCCTCCTCGGCCAGCCGGTTGACCTTGATCACCGCGGCCGAGGTGGGGCGGAAGCCGATGAAGTCCAGCACGCCGTCGCCGGAGGCGTTCATCGGCAGCCTGTCGTCCATGCGGTACACGGCGCGGCCATGGCCCGGGTACCACGCGATGTCGGCGAACTCGTGCTGGTACCCAAACTTGGTCACCTGCTCCGCGAGGTCGTCGTCGTCCCGCTCCGTGAACGTCGTGAACCGCTTGAACAGAGGTTGTAGCGCCAGAGTCACCTGCAAACCATCGTACAAATTCGTTAGACCTTGCACAAAAAAGGGAAATTTGGTAGACCTTGCACAAAAAAGGAAAAAATGTTAGACCTTGCACAAAAAAGCATCGTACAAATTTGTTTTTTTTGTTTTTCTTTAAATATTGATAATCCTATCAGGATTCCGATGGAATATGCTAATATTTTAGTGGATGAATTTTCTTTAGAAGAGATTAAAAAGGTTGTCTTTAAAATGGCACACAATAAATCTCCTGGCCCAGATGGCTTCACGGCTGAATTTTACCAACACTATTGGGAGCTGGTGAAATTTGATTTGAAAGCTCTACTAGATGATTTTGCCAGCAGGAAAATTGACATTAGCAGACTGAATTATGGAATTATAACCCTGGTTCCAAAAGGGATTGGTGCTAATCAAATTCAGAAGTTCAGGCCTATCTGTCTATTAAATGTATGCTGTAAAATTATTACTAAAGTCTTGATGAACAGACTTAATTTGGTAGCTGCTGAGGTCATCTCCCCTGTACAAACTGCCTTTGTTAAGGGCAGATATATCATGGAGGGGTTCCTGATCTTGCATGAGGCTTTGAATAGCATTAAAAAGAATAAACAAAGTGCTATACTTCCGAAAATTGATTTTGAAAAGGCCTATGATAAAATCAAATGGTCCTTCTTATTTCAAATGCTCAAACTGAAAGGATTTCCAGATAAATGGATTGACTGGGTTATGGAAACAGTTAGAGGGGGAAAAGTTTGTGTCAAGGTTAATGAGAACTTAGGAAAATATTTTTGCTCTTATAAGGGCCTGAGACAAGGTGATTCTCTATCTCCTTTAAATTTTGATCTGGCTGCTGATGCTCTAGCAATTATGTTAAATAAGGCTAGAGAAAATGGATTAGTCAAGGGGGTCTTGAGTGAATATACAAACAATGGGGTTAACATGTTGCAATATGCAGATGACACTATATTCCTGCTACAAGATGATATGGATAGTGCACATAACTTGAAATATATTCTATGTTT